GAATAACTAATTTCTTGAACTTATGCTGATTGGACACAAAATTTTCCTTAGTTGTGAGACAGTGATGATATACGATTCAGAAACAAGGTTGATTACATTGCCTGAAGCCTGAGAGGTAGTTAAGCAATGATTCGAGGTAAAAATTCTCTACACTACAATTCTGACTCAGAGATAAAAGTCAACAATAATATGAAAGAGTGACTCCTCATTGTATCTTTGTTTTTAACTACATGCAATTCAACGTGATGGTGATAGGCAGTGGGTTGCAAATAGTGCAAATTAAGAAAGAGATTGCGAATAGAATAAAATATGATCAACTTTGAATGTCATTGGCCTTCCTAGTATTACACTAGATCTTGATTGATTAAGTAACTTTATCAACATCAAAGTTTATCAAGCTTTACCCGATTTGAAGGATGCATTTTTTGTCTTCTGCAGTTGGCAATGTCTAATAGTAGAATGATAGATTTCTTGAAGTTACACACAGAAAGAGGCACGTAATTGTGCTAGTAAGCATGTATAAGTTTTATTGCAACAACTGGAGGGATTGTCCCCATTGTATTCATTTATTTCCGTTCCCTTCAGTTCTTTCTTTCTGGATGTCAATTCATTCGAGGATACTCAGTGTGCTCATACTGTACTCTGACATTACTTGGAAAGATTGAACTGCATTTTCTTGGCTCTGTGCAAGTCATACCCGAGGCAACCCACAGACGCTCCTGAAACTTGCATTGATAGAATGATCTTGTAATTTGCAGTGTTTCATTGAGAGATGGTTGTTGTTCCAAGTGATGAAACTTGATTTGTTAAGTGGCCTTAGCAATTTCCACTGAAACTTGATTTGTTGTTTCAAAAATAGTATAGACAGATAAATAAAAATCAGCTTCAACTTTGGTGATGCAGGATGAACTGTTTTTGCACCAGAAATATGCAGCAAGTCCATCACTAACATGAGTTGCCAAAGAGGAAGACTATATCCAGGATGAATCTGTGGAAGTGGAAAAGGATTCCAATATTCAAATTGCTGGCTGCTTTATAATTGCCTGTATAGCAGCAGCAATGTGTAATTGAATCTTCTAGTACCATGTTGCATGGAACATGCTTTGTAAAGGGGAGAGCAACATGAATTCTCGCAACAAAGTTGTAACAGAAAACCTGGTTATGTGTAAATCATTATCTTTCTTATTTTGGATTTACAAATTCAGGTATTTGTGTCTGTATTTTTTGCATCTGGCCTATCTTATAATGGAGTAAATTTAACGGTCCATACTTGTTTTACTCGGTCATACATACTTAGAATCTATGCATGGTTAAACGGATAAATCTAGACGCGAGAAATTTATTAAACAATTTGTTTGTTTTGTAAATACATAAACTTATGGCTTATTACTCAGAACGCTAATTATCCATCAGTTCTAAGCTGTGCCTATTTGACGTAACATTCCATGCTATTCACAATTTTCTCCATACATCATTATTATTATTAGGAATGGTCTGGTGGTAGACTTATTGCCAACCTACAATCTCATATGCTATCGTTAATGGCGTATTTTATCATTAAAACATAGATAAAGTAAAAACATATACTTGGAAATGTTAGTGGCTAAGATTAACTTAAAGATTCTAAGTTTAAATATCCCTTTCCCCTTCCCACTTTTTAGATCTCACTTTTGCCCTATTAGAAAAAAAAAAATTAGGAAAAAAGTTTATATTCTCGAGATATTTAATTTAGTTATGTTCTATAGATGTTGGTTTCAGATGAGCAATAAGATCCTCAAATTATTAGTAGCTTTTGCTAATGGAGCCATTTTTTCAAGTCTTGTCACTCACCATATATAACTCCATAAATAACCACAATTGGAAGTCCACAGCAAAGCAATGACATGCCTACTTCAATCGTCCTTCATGCCAAAGTCACAAATTCTTAGACAGTTAGTTTTTGGGGGGATTCAGTCTACACAAGCCACTGTTTCGAGGGCCGAATTCACATAAATCCCTATTTTTAGTGTTCGTTCTTGAACTGAGCTTTTGTGTCCAATGAGCTTACATTAAATACGTCCCTAATTTTCCTTGGATGTAGTCTGCAATCATTAGCAAAACAACTATTGTGTTAATCAACACAAACCAAGACATTAATATATTAGTAGTTCTTCCTCAACGTAACCAACCCAAAAAAAAAAGAAAAAGAAAAGGGTATGGCAGAAAGCACAGATATAACCTGCCTCCACGTTCCCAAATATTTCGTACACTTAAGACATGCAAAGATACATTAATATTCATGTAGAATAGCCACCAAATTGAACCTTTCAATCATTTAAACACAAATGATCAGTTGACTTGAGAGACAAAATGTTCGTGAGGATCACGAAGCCACTCTTTTTCATTCCAAGGCACAAATTATATAAGGGATATGTTTAGAAGTCAATTTGGCATCCAATTTCATGTCAAAGCTCCTCTGAAAGAGCAAACTGAGGAAAAGAAGGGCAAAAAAAAGTTTGAAGAAATATGGCCCCTTTTCTTCAATCTCTGAGCTCTATCCTTTTCTTGATGGCATTGATCAAATTGTCAATCATGAGCAGAATATCAGCTGCTGGCTACAGTCCAGCAGTATTCCGGCCTTCCCCATGGCAACTTGCTCATGCCACATTTTATGGAGATGATTCTGGCTCTGGAACAATGGGTGCGCTACTTTAATTTCTCAAGTTTGTAACAATATCTAGTGTGCAACAATTTTTTTCTACTTTTTTTTTTCTTTTGGGTATTTACCACTGTTCAAGAATCCATTCAAATTTTGTATGCTTATTATCATTTGGCAAGAGTGATGTTTATTTACGCCACAAATGGTACAAATCAGAGTTATGTCAAGACATTTTTAACATGAAATCTTGATATGAAAAAAAAACAAAAAAACTTTTTTCGAAGTAACAGAAGCACTATCCTATTTATATATACATGCGAGATTTCTTGGCCTCTTTCTGCTTCTTTTATCCTTGAAATTTGTTTTTAATTGAAGGGGGCAAAATGCTATTAGCCAAAGCTCTATGTTTATACTAAGACTGTGAATCATTGAATCGGCAGGTGGGGCTTGTGGATATGGAAATCTGCTCAGCAATGGTTATGGAACAGATACAGCAGCCCTGAGCTCAGTCCTATTTAACAATGGATATGCATGCGGCCAATGTTTCCAAATACGCTGCGTTCAATCACCATTTTGCTTTAAAGGGTCCCCAATTACCACCGTGGCTGCCACAAATCTTTGCCCCCCTAACTGGTCCCTAGACTCCAACAATGGAGGCTGGTGCAACCCGCCTCGCACCCACTTTGACATGTCCAAGCCTGCATTTATGAAAATTGCCCAGTGGAAGGCCGGAATAGTACCCGTCATGTACCGCAGGTAAAAGCTTTATGACCGCGTTGCAATGCTAATTGCTGCATGTAGTAAAATTAATAGTATTAGTATATAATGCCATGCTTGCTTCTTGCAGAGTACCATGTGCGAGGAAAGGCGGACTTCGATTCAATTTCCAAGGAAATGGCTACTGGTTGTTGGTGTATGTGATGAACGTCGGGGGAGGTGGCGACATCGCCAGCTTGTCGGTGAAGGGAAGCAAAACAGGGTGGATAAGCATGAGCCATAACTGGGGAGCTTCGTACCAGGCTTTCGCAACTCTATCACGACAGGCTCTTTCTTTCAGAGTAACTTCGTACACTTCCAAGCAGACTGTCTTAGCATACGATGTTGCTCCTTCAAATTGGAACGTAGGAATGACTTATGAGGCCAATGTCAACTTCCACTGATATACAAGAAAGACCTAGCTAACATATCCATTAAACTTTGTATGTCGCCTGCAGCCATCATCATCGTGTTCGATTCCTTTACCCTTTCTTGCCTCATTTTTTTTTTTCCTTCCTTCCTCATAAAGTTTCCTTACCTTGTAAAAGGTCTCTTGCTGCGAAAATTTTTGTGAAACATTAAATACCAATATCGTATGATGTGCGCCAGTGCAAACAAAAGTGAAATCTTTATTTTACCCTGGCTCTGTTGCATTGCATATTGCAGAGCTTTAGGATTTTTTTTTTTTTAAGTTTCTTTGCTGATTTCAATGTTGACATCCATTCAATCATCGTCCTCTTAGTTCACCAGAAAAGCTGAGGGAAATGGATCAGTTTTACAATCTGCACACATCCAATGGATGGTATTAAAATTTAATGAAGGGTTCTGTTGTAAGCCAAATAAAAATTGAAGGAACAAGGACCCTAGCAATATGAGGGACAACTTGAAATTCTAGATTGGTGCTCTACATCTAATTTACTTAACTAACCGTAAAGTGCTTTAAGAAAAGACATCATTCGTGGTTAGTCAGATGAATTATCTCTTTATACCCTATAGTTCTTGCATCTTTTCTTTTTCGCCCACATTTTTCCTTGTCTCTTGAAACAAGAAGGTCGATCAACTATTTGGACCTTTCAACAGAACGCATTACATAGACAACAGATCCATGGATTAGGTACCACATTTCAATGCAATTGAAAGTTTTTTACAATCTTTTTCTGGTGACAGTAAACTGTTCGTAGAAAGACTGCTGCAAATCTACAACATGCCTATTGCGCAATCTGCATGAAAAAAGTTGTGCCGTTTAAGAGCAAAGAAGGGTCTTTTTAAGTTCTGAATGCTGATGCATGCTAGCTAATAATAGGAACCCACAGGTAGTTGGAGTGGGGAACATGTTATCGAAAACAATTAGCATTTTGAGCCCCATCCCTCAGGAAGACTTGCCTTCATTCCATTCCTTAAGCACGCCAACCTTCCTTTTTATTACCTTTAGACTTGAAAAGTCATCATCACGCCATGCTCCAAATCATTCCCCCCAACCTTTGCCACCTGACTCTAGACCCCCTTTACCGCATACATTTACATTAAAAGGCAAGCATACCTAAAAGACATACACATAAATTTGATGCACTTAGTTAACTTGAAGCACTAGCTAATTTTTTCTTATCCTCTTTACGTAGACTAAATGGATAAACATGTCCAGAATGTAATCCAACTTGATTGGTTACAAACCTTTCCTTTTACTTCTTCCGGAAATAGAAACATGAAATTACAGTTGGTCAACCACTTGACTTGCCAGGAATTCAAAATTTCCATCAGCTCATGTCAGGCAAAGTCCTGTTTCATTCAGATCTTCCAAACCCCTTTATCACAGTAGGATGTTCTTCAAAATAAATAGTCTTTTCTTTTTCTTTTTTCCCTCAGCAACCGGTAATAGAAGAGGATATAATACGTTTTCTTCTTTCAACTTTCGACTTTCGCCTTTCACCTTTCACGCAGAAAACAACTTCTATATTAAAAGCTTTCCCCAGCAATCCCAGTGCACTCTTTGCAATCCCAAACAATCTTTAATCAGTCAACAGGGGCACTAAACCTGTTTAACAGACAGGTTCCACACAAATTAAAAACTTTCTTTCCATGTTCCGCCCTGCAGAAGAACCTGAAAAATCATACTGCAGTGATAAGGAACTTCCTTGATCCTTCTGGTTAAATCTGCCACTTCTTCAAATGGGCTCTTTTCATACCGTCACTTTGATAGTATTTCTTTCACTAGCATCTTCAACAGGATTGCAGATTGAGGCCCAGGGAATAAAATCAGCTCGTCTTCTTGATCTTGTGATCAGAGATTACACTTTCCAATCTTATGATAGATTCTTCGGCACAGGCAAACTACACGCTGTAAGTTTGCCAGCAAATCTCTCTGGAATCAAGGTTGACACAGTGAGATTCCGCTGTGGCAGTCTTCGAAGGTATGGTGCAAAAGTTAGCGAATTTCATCTGGGGACAGGTGTAACTGTGAATCCATGTGTAGAGAGGGTATTGATAGTCGCTCAAAATCTTGGATCCAACTGGTCATCCATATATTATGATAACTATGAACTATCAGGATATCAGCTGATTTCACCAGTTCTAGGCCTACTAGCTTACAATGCTGGAGACAACATAAATTTCAGCAGCCCATTTGAGCTCGGCATTCAAGCAGGCAAAGACCCTATTAAGATAGACTTTCGGAACACTACAAAGTTAAACGCTACAACGGGGATCATACCTTTGTGTGCTCGATTTGAACGCGATGGAAAGGTGACGCTAGCCAACCAAGCATCACCAAATGTATGTGTTTCCACAAGACAAGGGCACTTTGGCTTGGTCATCGAGTCACCATTGATGCCAATGAAAAAGCAGGTAAGCAAGTGGAAGATAGCTGTAGGAAGCTCCATTGGAGCTGCACTTGGTGCTTTCCTTTTAACTTTACTTTTGATAGCAATATTTGTTAAGGTGAAGAAGAAAGCAAGAATGGAAGAGTTGGAAAGAAGAGCTTATGAAGAGGAAGCTCTGCAAGTATCAATGGTTGGACATGTGAGAGCTCCTACCGCATCTGTCACTCGAACAGTGCCTATAATCGAGCACGAGTACACACCTCCCCCCCATTGATCTGCTAGTTGTTTATCTCCATAAACATCATTCTTTGTGTAAGATCATCTGAAATTATAGGTTTATCTTTATAGATTGAAACGTAGGCTTGGAATATTTGCGTAGTCTTTGATACCTCAAATCAAGCTGACTAATTGTTGTATGTAATCTTCTGATCTGACAAATTCTTCTGTTGCACCATTGAGTTGAGAAACATTGTGATTCATTAATTGTCTCTTGTCTAGTGATCTGATTATCCATGTTTCATGCTTGCCATAATAGTCATTAACATACGGGCTTACATCAACAATTTACAAATACCGCCTGTCATATTCGATATTACCCTTCAAATTCATAAATCAAAATTGGAGCAGTTGATCCGAAACCTTAATCAAACTTTAGGGTATCAGAATTTTAAAGACCTTGAATGAGATGGGAGCCCTTTTTCTTTTCTTTTTCTTTTGTCTCTTTTTTCCTGAATGAGTCTGGTAGGAGCCTTGGATTACTAAATTCCCATCTTGTTGCAGGCAAAAAAACCAGGAAAATTTGTTATTTGATTCCTGTATTTTGAAACATTTTTCTTTTGAGATGTCCGCTTTCATTACTTTCTGTTACTAGAATATACCCACGCTCTGCTCTCAGAACGGAATGTGTCAGCTAACAATTACGAATGATAAAAGGAAATGATCAATGATGGTTTTTTTTTTTTAGTTTATTGCTTTTGAACGTATCCGTATGAAGAATTATACTGATGTACATAAGCACTTTTCCTTTTGTACAAACTCTTCTTGCTTATGTTAATAATATACTTCGATTCTTGCTCAAAAAGAAAAAAAGAAGTATTCATATGACGTACGAAATAAGACAGTTCTGTCTTTAGGAAATGTTATAATTGTTGTCTACATTTCTTGCAATCAATTTAATACTTTACCCAGGAGCAAGAATAGAGGCAGCTTTGGTTGTACTCAGCAAAGCATTGCCTGGTCCACCCCAAAAAATATATATATATATATACCTTCACCTTCTGATAAAGTTAGGATTCTCCATAACAGGTTTCAACTGTTGACCAGAAAATTTTGAATATCAAGAAGAATTAGGAAATATGCTACATCTACGACGGACTAACATTTGCATCATTAGGGTTGGCCTTATTTGTCCCATTTGACATCTGCTGTATGGCTGGAAAGCTTGAACCTTGTGTTGATTTTGAGGCCTCAAAACGCTCAAGTCCTGACATGAACATATGTCTGTTCTTTACATATACGTGCCAGATATGATGGCTGTATGAAGCACATATGTCGAAAATTTACACCTCTTCATTATTTTTATTATTTAATTAAAATGGGAATACAAACCACCGCTCTCAAACTGCTGGAACAAACAAACGAGAAATGTTTTTATTTTTCCTCTTAACGATTTAATGATTCAAAATACTCCCTCCGTCCCACTTTGATAGTTCTGTTTCTTTTTTCACACAGTTTAACCAAAAGTAGTTAACTTTGTTGGAAAAGTAAATTTAGATTGTTATTTTTCTAAAATACCCTCACATTAAATATGGTACAACTTTATGGAAATTTGAATTGATGGTAAAAAAAGAATCAATTCTCATTAAATGGGGTAGGTTTATAGTAATAACTACTTACATTGAATAAGAGTATTTTAGAAAAATTAAAATATACTCCCTCCGTCCCGTTTTGTTAATCTTGGTTTTTTTTTCACACAGATTAAGAAAGTGTAATTAATTTAGTTGGAAACATAAATTTAGATTAATAATTTCCTAAAATACCCTTATGCTAATCACGAAGAGTGCCAATTAATATCAGTTACAACTAATGGATTAGTATTGGAAAATCTCAATGTATTCAATGTAGTGGGTTAGTATTTAATAACAATGTATTAATAACAAGATATTTAATAAGGGTATTTTAGACAATTTGAAAGATTACTACATTTCTTAATGGGAAAGTGGACTACAATTTGGGACAGACGAAAAAGGAAAACAAGACTATCAAAATGGGACGGAGGGAGTAACTACATTGTTCAATTGGAAAGTGGACTATAATTTGGGACAGATGAAAAAGGAATACAAGACTATCAAAGTGGGACGGAGGGAGTAGCAAGCAAGACATCTACCGCAAATTTCATGCTGTCCCCTGTCTCATCCATAATTGAACTTCCTGTTTCGTCTTATTTTTGTCCCTAGCAACCTATAAGAAAGAATCAACGATTAAATAAAATGCAAAAAAGAATTAGTAGCTTTTCTGGCCAATAAATTGAACTCGATGATATCCATCCCTCCGCCTGGAAAAGGTCAAGGAATGGGATCATACTCCAGTCATTTTAAAGATTTAGAGTTAGAGATTTTACTAACTATTGATTTTTTTTTTAATCAGTGACACAGTTTTCATGTCACTTGTTATCAATAATTTTTATGTTTTACATCACCTGTTGTCAATAATTTTTATTGTTTTTTAAGTCAATAGGAGGATTCAAACACACAATCAATGAAGAGATCGAGGGAAAGTTAGATTGAGTTATAAAATAATCCCTTTTAATAATTTTAAAATAACAGCGAAATTCAAACACACAATCGATGAAGCGATCAACAAAAAATTAGATTAATTAATAAAATGAAAAAAATAGTAAATAAAAAGTTTTTTTATTCAATACCTTCCATTTATTATAAAAAAAAAACACACACACACACACTAACCTTAATAGTTCCCGGCCCCGGGATCCACCAGTAGTACCAGAAACTAGAACCTCACTAATCCGGTCAATTTTCCCGCAAAATTTCCCCTTCTGTTACTAATTTTCCCGGGAAATTTTAACTCCGTCGAGAAAATCAAGCCCCTTCACCCCCATAGCATTCCCCACCTACTCCATCAAACCAGTACCCCCAACCCTCTTCAGCTTCCCCTGCTCCCCCACAGTCTAGGGCTCTTCCCGCTCTTCCACCACCACCATGGACGGCACAACACCACCGTCCACCTCCACTTCTGACATTACCACCTCCACCACTCCGCCTCCTCCTAAGACCCCATTAAAAAACCACCTGATCCCAAACCTCAATTCCTACCACCCCTCCCCCTCGCGGACCATCTACAGTGACCGCTTCATTCCCAGTCGATCTTCTTCCAATTTCGCCCTCTTCAACCTCTCTCCGTCCTCGCATTCCTCCACCTCGGATGACTCTACCAATGCCTACACTGCCCTCCTCCGCACGGCCCTTTTCGGTCCTGACTCAGCTGGAGTCGTGCCCCCTGTCACGCCGGATAAATTATCTGGGATAAATGGAAAGAATTTGCAGATTAATCCTCCCAATTGTAATATTTTCAAGTTTAAGACTGAGACCCGGAAGTCTTTGCATTCTTTGTCCCCTTTCGGGTTTGATGATCAGCTCCCCGGTGTCTCCCATAGCCCTGTTAAGACTCCAAGAAAAGTCCCTAGGTCTCCTTACAAGGTAGTCTTTTGGATTACTTCTGTTTGCGATTGCTTGATTTGGGTTTCTTGAATTTGTTGCTTTTATCTGGTTTTGATGCCATGTTTTGGGTTTGTATGTTGATTAAATATAGGGATTGCGTTAAATTGTTAGAATTTTTGGTTTCCTTAGTTCAGGGACAAGATGGTGTTTTGCTGCTTTTTGTGATGTGGGATGCTTGAAATTGAAGTTGTGTGGTTGTTTTTGGATAGGTTCTCGATGCACCAGCATTGCAAGATGATTTTTATCTGAATCTTGTGGACTGGTCCTCGCATAATGTATTGGCTGTGGGATTAGGGAACTGTGTTTATTTGTGGCATGCTTCTAGCAGCAAGGTGAGTGTTTGATATACGAATTCTCGGGGTTGGACTTTGACACGTGATTTATGAAATGCAGCTATTAAACTTGTTGCGGTGTTTCTTTGTGCAGGTAGTGAAGTTGTGTGATTTGGGAATAGATGATAGTGTGTGTTCAGTTGGCTGGGCACAGCGTGGTACACATCTTGCTGTTGGAACTAGCAATGGGAAGCTCCAGGTAATCCAGAATTGCTATATGTTGTTACTAGTGATACACGTCTATTGAAGAATTCTTGTTGGAAGGGACTGAGCTTAAGCATGCTTCGATGCTCTCTCTAATTGTAGGATGCCTCTTCATTATGAGCATCAGAATTCGACTTGGTTTTCATTTTCCCATTAACCTTGAATTGGACTACAAATTTGGATTAGTTTTTAGCGTTCCTGACTGTAAGTACTTGTCAATGCATTATGAGGTGGTAGAAAAGGATAGGCACATGAATGTATGAAACTGAGTGAAAATTGCATTCTTAAGTCCATTAGTTAAAACTCGTGTTTGCAATCCTTGTTATGCGATTACTTTGAATTGCTAATGAAGCTATAATTTAGCGTATGGCATGGGTTCATCTATTTACTACACCAAGGATCATGATGTACTCAAGGAAACTATGATTCCCCTTTAGACTCTATCTAACACCATAGAACCACACAGACCAAGTTTCAAGTTCTATTTTGTGATTATTTCTTAAGTTTGTCTTGATAAGGATTCTTAATTCCTTCTAGTTAGAAATCGCAAGAATGCTAGTACATATAATGCAATAGCTCGCTGGAAAATGTGCATAGACAATCATTTGAACTCATCATCATAAAGCATACCGTGAGTTGCGAGCCCAAATTGAGCGGCAAATAGCGTTGTATGAATTTCTTGTTCTCAGCTTTAGTTGCTCTAGAAGTTCTTTTTTTAAGAAATCAATCTTTCTTTAGCTTTGCATCTTATAACTGGTTTTGGTTCTGCTTCTCAATTTGAAATGTCTTGGTGAGATGCAAAATTCTGTCTTGGGTTGCTTTAGCTTTATCAATTGAGTTAAATTTTATCTTTAAGCTGCATTTTTTACAATATGAGAGTGATAAAAATGTCACATTTTTTTAGTGTCTTGCTTCTAACTGACAAATCTTTGGCATTGCTGCATGTAGATTTGGGATGCCTCTCGTTGCAAGAGAGTACGAACAATGGAGGGACATCGTTTGAGAGTTGGTGCATTAGCCTGGAGTACGTCTTTGTTGTCTTCAGGAAGCCGTGACAAAAGCATTCTTCAACGTGATATACGAGCTCAAGAAGATTTTGTTAGTAAGCTAAGCGGACACAAGTCAGAGGTCAGGCTTCCCTTCCTCATTTGGATCAACCTATGAACATCATTTATTAATCTTGTTCCTCTTACCAGCGCTCAACATTCTGTAACCTGAATATCAACCATTTTATGTCTAGGTTTGTGGACTGAAGTGGTCTTATGACAACCGAGAATTGGCATCAGGTGGAAATGATAATCGAGTATGTAGTCCCCTATTATGCTTGCAATTAGTGGCATCTCTTATACTTTTCCTTTAAGCTCTATACTTTTTAACTCATGAAAATTTCCTTTTGCAAAATGCAGCTTTTTGTTTGGAACCAGCACTCAACACAACCCGTATTGAAATATTGTGAGCACACTGCTGCTGTTAAAGCAATTGCTTGGTCCCCACATATGCATGGACTTCTTGCTTCTGGTGGTGGGACAGCTGACCGTTGCATACGGTTCTGGAACACCACCACTAACTCACATCTCAGCTGTATGGACACAGGCAGTCAGGTATTCATGATTCTTTTTGGATTGGTTCATTATTAAGATTTAAGGTGTGCGCTACTTTCTCATGCATCTGGAATTCACAAGAGATGTTTTTGGGGCTTAAAAAAAAAGTATGTCGTGGCATGACATCATGAAAGGATTACTTATAGAAATCACTTCATATTCTTGCTTATTGTAATAAGTCAAAACTTTGTATTCTGATGATGTTGATACTGGAAACATGGTACAATCAAGGCTATACATAATTGCCATACTGTGCTTGCAGATAATTTAGACCTCTCATTTGTCCTCTTAATAACTACTTGTGGCATTCAATTTTTGTTGATCTTGGCAGGTGTGCAATCTTGTGTGGTCTAAGAATGTCAATGAACTTGTCAGCACTCATGGGTACTCACAAAACCAAATAATAGTGTGGAGATATCCTACAATGTCAAAGGTACTGTACTCTAACCATGACTTATTATCTATTGCTTCTGTGTAATTTTTTTTCCCTGCTGTTGATATTTTGTAACCTCATGTCAATTTTACAGTTGGCCACTCTCACGGGGCACACTTACAGAGTTCTTTATCTTGCCATCTCACCAGACGGACAGGTACAGCTGTAAACTGCCGTCTATTTTCCTTTTAACTTTATTTTGACAACAATTAAGTGCAACGCCATGATTTTTAAGTTTCATACTGGGTGACATTTCAATTGCTTATTATTTGTTTGTTATTGTAGACAATTGTTACTGGAGCAGGAGATGAAACACTTAGATTCTGGAATGTGTTCCCTTCACCAAAATCTCAGGTGAGCAATCTAGACATGAATAGAATCGCTTTCCTGTATACTCTATGCTGTATGAGATATTTGAGTTGCAAAAAACAAACGGTGACAATAATTGGTACTGGTCTAGCTGAACCTTGTTGTTTAATAAAAATAAGCTGATCCTGTAATCTGCATGATAAATTGAGCTGGTTGGAGCTTTTCCTGCCACTGTGCTAGACTGCAGCACAAAATGCAGTTGGTTTTCCTTAAACTAATTTGCCATTTTTGATAACTCGGGGTTTTAAAATGAAGTTGCTATGGATGCTTATCAGCACCTCATCAGATGAATGAGGACTAATGCCCACCCCATCCCCCAACCCATGCATAAACAAGAAGACCCCCAAAATCGCAGACTGAGAAGTACCTTGTTTCGTAATGTGCTGGTGAAGGTTGTAACGTTCTCATGCTTCTTGTCTGTGCAGAACACGGAGAGTGAAATTGGAGCATCATCTTTGGGAAGAACTCAGATTCGGTGACTCTGGCAAGTTTTTCAGGTGTCACACTCTTTGATAATTATTTGTTGTCATGTTGGTGCAAACAAGCAGAGGTTTTCGTCTGTTTGCCATTAAGTGAAGGAAGCTGGAAAAGTTGTATAAAATTACCTCTTGGAGCCTAGCTTTTCAGCAGCAAACAAGCACCAGTGCCGAGATATGGTAGAGGCCTAGATTCTGGCAAAGTGACAACTTGATTTATTAGTTTTTTTTAATCCCAATTGTACAGTGAGAGATGTTATTTGATGCTCAATAACACTCTCCCTCGCCTTGTGTATGATAGAGAGAGCTTATTATGTACGGGAAATTAACTGTAGCATGGAACTCAATGCTGACATTGTAAATCATTCACAAGTTATTCAAGATTCAAGACTGCTCAAATTAGCCACCTCCGTGTGTGTTATCCTCCTTTTCCTCTTGGAAAGAAGACAAGCACTTTTAGTTTGGTAACCCTTGGAAAATTCTGTCCCTTTTCGGGTCTAATTTTGCTGTGTCTGGAATTATCATATGCAATGCCATTTTCATGAAATATCAGCAGTTCAGAGAAACTGCACCTAATTCTAATAGCAGAAGTTGAAATTTCGACTGCTTGATAGGGCCTTCAAGATCCAGCAGCAAGGGATTTTTAGGCCTCGACACTTGTATATTCCAAGCATGATTTGACGGCCGCCCAATGACAATTTGCCAGATATCACGTACCATTGTTGAGTCTAAATGTTTCACCACATGAAAATTGAGCGAAATTTCTTTGAAGTCACAAGGTACCTTTTGGGCGGTGTCTATTGAAGTTTGGAGTTTCGAATGTCATTTTCCACTCGTTTGACAAAATTTGCAATGGCGTACCCCTAAAATCTGCCTTCGTTCTTCAATCGCAGATATCTAACAATCCTGCATGAATTATGACGATTGACGAGCAGCAATAACATACACGGATCTCTACCGCGTTCAAAGGGATGGAGGACGGCAGCAGCACTAGTCCTAGCGCCATCTCTGCGTCGTTCGTGTTTGTTTTTCTTTTATCTTATTCTTTTAGGTGTTTTTGCGCATTGGCATTACGAGTGTAAACGAGTCTAATCAAATCGAGTATCCTAGTGCTCAAGTTTATTTGATTATTTTATCGTACTTGAAATTCCGCTCAAGTTTGGTTTATTTATCTATGGAGCTGAATTCAATCGAACATAATTTAAGTAAAGTTTCAGCGATTTGGATTTTTAATTTATAAATTTCAATTTTATGCTTAATAAGTCAAAATTAAACAGAACTTAAATATTTATTGAATACAAAATGCTATTCAAACTTAGTTTGATTAATTGGTGAATTAAGCTTATACTGAGTTGAATTCGATTCTGGTTCTTACTTGTGATGCAGATTTTCAAATGAATACCGAACAAGTGCAACCCAAATTCCTAATTTTCAAGCAGACGACTGCGATAGAGTCCCGAATCCTGTGCACTTCCTTTCCTCTGCGGTTGACACTTGGCAGAGGGACCGAATCTAATGGCGACACCATCCCAATTCAGCACACCACGCTTGTCTAAAGCAGTCGGCGGCAGCATTTAGGTCTACCTCACAATTTAGCCAACTTATTTGGCAGGAAAAACGTGCTGTTCGGAAGAGATCTTAAATATATTGGCCCCACCCAACATGTATCGCGAGATTAGAGGTCAAGAATTCAAATCTTATTTTCATCAATGTGTCATTACATGTGATTTCTTTTAGATCTACACAGTACGTGATGCATCCGTATGATTCGATCCGATAGTAGTCCAATCATCGTCGGTTCTCTCGATTTAACTGAACCACCTCCTTAAAGTAGATTAGAGTAGGAGTACGAGTTTGAGTAGACTATGATAGATATGCTGTTACGGAAAAAAAAAAAAAAAAAAAAAGAGTTCCTAAATAAAATTCAGTTGGAGATAACATGATTTACTTTCACAAAGCAGACATTCTTGGAAATATTGAAATACCTGTGGACGTACAAGCCCCCTCCACTTCATGCAGCATTCGGAGAACATGTTTTGCATTCCAATTCCTTTAGAACCTAACACTTGCCTCATTGGCGATGAAATGACTCTACCATCCTTACAACTTAAGATATTTTACACATATTCATGGAGAGAAACAATCAAAACATTTGCTAACACGATGAAATTGGCCGTGGGGAGACTTCGGTTCGTTGTTTCTTCTTCTTATCACCACGATGATAACAATTAGTCTTAAGGTAAGAAAAAACTTTGTTTTGTTAAATTTCGAAAGTAGTTACTTTTTGGTTACAAATGATGAATTTTTTTTTGTTAATCATGTGTAATTACGACTCGATAAATGAAATAATAAGTCAGATCGAATGATTAAATTAACTATTATTATAGGTAAGAGGCACTTTTTAGAGTCAAATGATGTTCTCACACCTAAATTCATTTTTTTTTTATTATTGCTTCTTTTTTTTTTTTTGGGGAATGGGATAAATAGTAACAAGGATATAGTTTTTAAAGGAAGTTAGTGATAGTTTCAAATTTTCGAACAATGGCAGTGAAACTATTAGAAACCCTAGTGGAGGTTAGGGTTTCTGAAATTATCCCTGTAAGTTATTCAAGAAGCATAATTGACTTCAAACATCAATTCCCCTTCATTTTTACTTGAAAAATAACAACATCCCCTTTTATTCATAACAATTATTGGAACTACTTTTATTCATAACAAATATTGGAACAAATATTGGAACTATGTACCAAAGTTTTCAAGTATCACATTCCCCAAAATAAAGAAAAAATTGGTAAGCTATGTTCTAGTATCTAGCTGCACTACTAGCAGGGCACGGGCGTCTGCTTCTGTGTAGTATTTACATTTTCAACAAATCACCTGCGTAATCAATCATCCGTGGAGTAGTCACTTGGAGATTAAACCCATAAAAATAGGGTATCTCAGCTTTGCTGCTGCTGCTGCAAGCTCTTGCCTTGTGGCTTCGTTCCATCGTTCTCCTTAGAGCCAGAGGAGAAAGATTGTGACCAAGGAATCAGGCTCATGGGTGGAAAGCAGCACGAGCAGGCCTCTTGGCATGGTTTTGGCATATCCCAGCAATTGCTTGCCGGGATTTCCTTGTTCTCCATCTGGATCCCGCTAGAAGGAGCAGCAGCAGCCTGAAGTGGACCCCAGCATTCTGCCTTGTTGAATTCTGGAATGTTTGAGTGAAAATATACCCAAACCAAAGCTTCCTGTAATTCTGGATAGTTATTCAGCAACCCTCCGTCAGCATAGACGAAAGCCTTCAACACCTGATCAGATTTCACCCCAGTTAATGAATAGCTTTTTTGGTGGTATGGTAATGGAATGATCATTTTATTCTTTTTGGGCTTAATTACCACAGGGAGTTCTTTGCAGAAGATCCAGTATCTGAGCCTAGCACACAAGTCTAATAGGAAATGACCACCACTTATGTGACAGTGAACATGAAGAGACATCTTTCCTTTCACTTTCTTCCATTCTGCAACCACTTCATCTCTCTGTAATTTGTTGTACCACCCCTGTATCTGCAACACAAAAATCCCATGTTCTCTTTTGCTGTAAATATCTATTGAAAGAATTCATCAACCCAGGATGGTTAGTGTGACAACATAGCCAGCTTCCTATTCCCTCAGCAATTAGCACTAAAATCTGAGAAAATTAGGACTACTCAAGATAGTTAAGAGGGTTCTAAAGATAAACAGAATTTCGATGTTCGCTATGCCTCTGTTGTTCCCACTCTTTTTGTTTACAAAAAATAATAATAATAATAATAACAACTCCCCAAAAAAGAACTATAAAAACAATAACAAGAAAATGTTTTAGCCCTTAAACTGCTGTTAATTTGCAGTTTTAGGTTCAAAAATAGATAATATCAAATAAAATCAAGTGCGGAGTTCACATGGGTTCCCCTGTTGTACTCTGTTCTTGACCGCTTCACCGCTAGCGTGGTGTTAAACCAGAAGATAAGGATTACCTGAGAGTTATTTATGGTTTGAGAGATAGCCAGAGTGAGCTTCGAGGTTACGTCACTATGTGTAAATGTATAGGCTCTAGGTAGCTGTCCTGGATGCTTCTCCTCATCAACTCCTAAGAAAACAACCTGCAACTTGGATGCTTCAAAAATAGCAGGTCCAAATAACCTGGCAACCTGATCCAAAACTCACCATAATTAAAATACATAATAATAATAATAATAAAACACACGAAGAGAGCCCCTTTTTGATCTTTGTTTATAAAGTTAAGAATTTTAATTCAGAACGTGATAATGGTAAGACTTACAGGGTTCAAGGATTGGCTTTTCTTGGATTTTCTTCTTCTTGTTGGGTACACAAGAACAGAGCTTCGGTGTTCTCTGAAGAGTGAAGAAGGCCTTAGCTCTTTTGGAAGCAGAGGACTGGTACTCAAAGTGCCCATATCTTCTAGTTCTAGGCAACAGCTAGTGCCGTGTGGGAGAGAAATAGAGAAAGTCGGAGTCTTGAACTGTTGAGCTTGGACTCCCTCCTCTGAATTAAATCTCCAATATTACAGGACACCCTCCCAAACAATATATCAAATATCTCATGTACATCAGATTATTAGTTATAGGTGGCGAGAGTCTTTTTTAGGGAATTTTGGGGCAGTTTGCTTTGCTTCGATGCTTCGCCTTTTGCAGCTTTGAAAGCTTTGGATATCAACTTTTCTTCGAAGCAAGCAGGCGAGCGTCTCTTTCAAGGCATGTGAAAGTGTTTTGAGAATGTGTTATTACGTGTATCAGGAGAGTTTTAGCGGTAGAAAAATGGACACAGTTGTGGAAAATGACGGAAACGCTGAGAGTAGCGTATAAGCATGAAGAATATAATTCTACAAAGTGAAGCAAAGGTTGCTTGAGGGCATGAAACTTCTTCCTTCTTGTTGCATGGCATCTTCGTTTTCTTACACCTTTGTAGTTTAGTTGGGTTGCAGTTGTAGTTTGACTTTGCTTTTTTTAGTTTGTTCATTTTGACTAGAATCTACTCTAGAATGTGGTAGTATTTGGCTTCATAATATTAATAGTTGAATAGAGTATTGCTTTTGTTTGGATAGAATATTGTTTGGAATAATTATTGAAGTATTTTTTGTGATGTGATATATGTGAGATAAAAAAATAATTAAAAATATAAAAGATGGATTCAAAAATATATTTATTATGTAAGCAAAATATTATTTGAAAAAATTTGCTACCCAAGCATTCGTAACATTTTTCTGATTTTGACTAATAACGGACCGTTAATAATTGTCTATGGATCAGTTAATGAATTAGCGAATGGAAACCACTTTTAACAACCACTTAACCGGAAAATGAACTCAGAATATGGATTTTGCTGTCTCTAATTAGTTTCACCATCTGGGAAATGAGTGGACACTTTTTTCTTTTTTTAATTTTAGTACCCAAAACTAGGGCTGCAAATGAACCAAGCGGCTCGAATCGAAATCGAGTTTAAAATATTAAACTCGCGAGTTTGAGTATATATATATTTTTTTTATTTTAAATATATATATTTTTTATTTTTTATTTTTAATAATAAAATTATATATATATTCTTAATATTTTATTATTTACTAAAAAATATTATTTTATTTATTTTTTAAAAATAAATATTTATTTTTTATTTTTTTCGAATTCGAGTTCGAGTTCAATAAAATTATGTCGAGACTCATCTCGTTTAGGTCAAAACTCGACTCGAGTCGGCTCGTTTACGGCCCTTCACTTTAATTCTAGCAATTCGCGGCTGTCACGATGAACATTTGGGATACCTTTTCTTTTTCCTTTTTTTTTCCCTTTGAACTTTGTCCCTCCATGTGTCGGTATAGCCCCGCGTTTTTTGTTCTTATGCAATTTCCACATGCAATTTGTCCTTCACACCTCCTACTTTATGTAAACAGTATATTAGGAGATGTACAAAGTAGGATGCTGCCAAAACTACGCTATTCTGCGGCTTGAAGAACTGCTCTTGCATTGAATTATCCACTACACGTTAATATACAACTCCAAGAAATGACACAGAGGACAAATCATGAGTAAAAGTTTGGTGCTCTTTCCGAGCCCATTCGGATTGCTATTTTCTGTCATTTTTTATAAAAAAAAAAAATACACTGTAACGATTTCATATATATAAAATAAAATTTTTAGAAAAAATAACAATTCAAACATTAGCAATAAGAGGGAGAGATGAGTTGGACGGTACGTGCGGGAAAGGGAGTGTAAGCAAGAGATCTTGACCTCGAGTCCTCTCGCTTTCAAAAAAAAAAAAAGAGAAAACATTAGCAGTAAAATCTTGAAAACAGAGAAAATTAACGTTAATTAATTCATGATAGATTGTATAAGCATGGTGCGTGATCACGTGATTATTGTTGATGCATTTTTACACTAGTTCACATGCACAACTTTTCTTTAGCCTTTAGTAGCCCAAGAACAACTGCCAGAATCAGCAAAAAGAAAAGCAAAAGCGGCAGCCGTGGGCCTGAGAATGCTAAGAATAAGGAGGATTTTTTTTATGTTAAATTTTTGAAAAGGTAAAGTTTGTCAGAAAAAGCGTATAAATGTAAGAGAAGGTAACAATTTTAATGTGTGTATTAGGTAAATTGGGTGTTATTTAAGCGATGGCTTAATATTACGTATCTGATAGAAAATTAATTTTGTTTTTTTTTTGGAGGTAAAATTGACTCCAAGAAAAATTTGACATAAAAGCATTTTGTACATGGTAACTTTTTTTGGATTCTCTTTTTCCTAATTGTAGAAACTGAAAAAAAATATAATATTGCCTCTTTTCTCATTCATTGGAGTGCCTAATGACGGGAATATGATACTAGAGAAGAAGATTTGGCTACCTAATTGTGGGATATTCTAAAACCGCGAAAAAGACAAAATGCTACACGTGGCCCTTGAAACTTCTAGCAATGTCCATCCTAATCCTGTAGAAATTGTTTATTCATTTTTTTTTTGTCTCAATCTTCCGGGACACATTGCACCCTCATTTTTATTGGCTATAAAAGTTTGCACAAAATTTCTTTTTTTGAAGGAAAAAAGCACAATTTTTAAAGCTATTGCATCTTGATCATTTTAATATTAATTCTGTAAAATAAGCTTTGACGGCATAATAACCCAACAGGCCAATGGGCTTTAAAAAAAAAAAAAAAGCAAAAACAAAAAGCACGTAGCCAAACACAACTTTGTTTTATCCGATATTAGATACTTCCAAGCATTATGTTATGCCCCTAAAATTACCTTAAAATTGTACCAATTGTTATGAAATAACAAAAGGTGTGAATGCCCATTTATATTCTCAAGAGGATTAATTCATGATTCATTAGTACATTGAGTAAAGGAGTTACTTCGGATGAACCGTTTCAATCCATAAAGCTATTCATGTATTGGATGAACGGTTTCAATTCATAGAACTATTCCCATAATGAGTGTTTAATAGAAATGATGTACTTTTGATTTTGTAGTACCATATATATATAGAGAGAGAGAGAGGTACCCTGGCACTTCTTGGGATGATTTTGATTAGTAGGAATAATAAGAATATTATTCTCTATACCTCTACTTCTTTCTCTAATATTTCAATCCCTACTATAATAGCTTATTTTATTAGTTTTACAACACCAATACATAGAATCTACAATTTTGATGTTACATACACATCACCAGTTGCAATACAAGTAGCCTATTCAATACTCCATCTATCAGTTATGTAGACGTTGCTTTTGCCTTATGTTTTATAATTTCCAGCCAGCATGAAATAAAATGTGTTTTAGAAATTAAAAAAAAAAGCAAGAAAAACAATAAAAGAAGTAAAGAAAAACAAATCATACAAAATTACATAGACTGATAAATTGTTCTTTTTTCTTTGGGGGGAACAATTCTAACTTTTGGGAGGTCCGATAAAGAGTTGTGTTTCTACCTCCTTTACTTGTCTCAGTGGTAAGGGCTGTGGACTAATCGATAGTTCCAATTGTTGCTCTTCATACTGCAAATTTTATTTTTTTTCAAAAAAAAATGTAAGTTACTTAATAAATAGGTTAATTTGGCCTACACAAGGTGCATTTATAATTTTACTGTTAGCACTAAAACTTGTAAAAGAGGTGAATTCTTTTTTTTTTTTTTGAAAAAAAAATATATTTGGATATACAGTTAAAAAGAATACTCCAAAATGAATTTACTTGCTTCTATTATATATCCATACTTACCCAACATCACAAAGTTAAAATAGACTTTTCATTTTAGGTCCATTTAGGGTATGTATAAATTAATAACGTTATGAGTAAAAAGAGTAATCCACCTTTCCCCGCAATTCTGCATTTTCCTTTCTGAGAATTTTCTCCTGAATTTTGAGAAGACATGCAAAGAAGATTAACAATGGCGATTAACATGTTATGCATGAACTATATTCCTGACCAAAATGTGAATAAACGAATAAGCAACTCCTGAGGCTTCAAAGGCGTATTTTTTACCTCTTCTTTCAGCTGATCCATTCGCTCCCTGAACAATAAACTCTGCAGAAGAATTGGATGTTCGATTTTGACCGTCAAATTCTACATTCTGATCAAATCATTTTAGAGATGCCTATTGCAAAGCGTACCTTTCTTGACCTGATGATGCTTAAACTTTTCTCCAGCTGATTTTCTATCTGTTGCAATTCATCAACACTGGAGGAATCTAAACCATCTCCCAAGAACCTTCTGCAACATAAAAAATTTACATTTATTGGTTTTTGTAATCACCAAAAACTGTAATCATTCATGGTGTTATACAATAAGGATGAATCGTGCTTAAAAACTAAAACAAATGTGTCAATGTTAGGACAACAACCGTCGAGTTTCCTCAAGGATCTCAATTTTTTTTCTCAGGATTGCAACCTCTTCTTCGAAATGCTGCACGCATAAGAATAAGCTCAGCACGAATCCAAAAAGGCAGCAGAATAAAATCGTACACAAGATTCTTTAAGTCAAAGAATCAGTTGGCACTGTAACGGGGATAAACATCCATGATCTTGAATGAGATTCCCAGAATCAAGAAATCAAGTGAATGTAAGACATTGCGGCTATTCAACAATAATTGTTTTCGCCTGTTCAAAAGGATCTTGAATGCAAGACATTACGGCTATTCAATAATAGTTCAACAGGATCTTGCCTGCCCTTCCGAGAGGGCCAGAAAGTGAATGTCAAGGAATAGCTTATTTTGGACATTGAACGCAATTCATAGGCTTTCATGCAACTAAAATTTGGTACCAGAGGAAAAAATAGATTTAAACCCAGGTCCTCTAATTTCTTGAAACTCAATGCCAGGACACAATTGAACCTTAATATGCGCTGTTCAAAGAAAATTCAAAAAGTCATTTCACATGTGAAAATGGTATATAAAACTCAACAAGATGACATTCTTCCCCAAAAACAAAGCAAGTTATATATCATCAAAATGGTAAACATATAGCGCAGACGCACAAAGAGCAATATGTTCAGTCAAGGGGATGGGCTGTGGGGGCGGTGTGGAGAGAAGAATTTTCTCAGTACGAAACTTTCTCCGTGTAAAAGATTTATAGATACTGATTAATCCCCTAAGCATAAAAAGATACCGTTGCTACTGCTTACATGATCATTCTCCATAAAACAACGCAAGTGAAAAACAGTTGCAGCCATATCCACTAAACTGCAGCAGCAAATCATATATGGAAAGAGATTTCTTAGATATGCTGATCAATTTCTGACCTGTGCTTGTTCCATTCTTCTGCTCGGACATAGATTCTTGATATTCTTCT